AGTGGAGGCCCAATGTCCTTCTGCTACCTTAATACTAAATCTATAAATATAGGCACATAGATCTATTTCCCCATCCTCATATAGATATATTTGCATATGTACATATCTTTATCTAGACCTCTATAAATGCCCTTTGCCTCCCAGCTCTTTCCTCTATTTCCCTTGATTTTTCCACCTGTCCCACTATCATGCTCAGTCCCCAACTAGGGTTTCAGCAATTCCTCTTGGTTATATTACCCCAGTCACAGCTTGCCACTGCCTCTGGGCAGGGTTTAAACCCCTCTAGCCCCACGGTCAGGGATTGGGGCTCAGCTACATTGTTATTTTAATTTTCCTCTCTTCTCTCTTCCCACCCCCTGCCCTCACAGTCTCGGAGGGCTCAGCTTTCCCCCCCTCTTTTTCTCTTCCCTTTTCTCTCACATGCCACTGCAGCCCTCCAGGCCACTCCCCTAAGCCTAGGAAATGTATGCCTACCCTCCACGCAGCTGGGGGAGCTCCACCCTCTGCAGTGTAACATGAGGCTGAGGAAAGCCCGCCCACCTTCTTCCAGGGGGTATCATGTCCACCTTACGCTAGGGAGCAGGGGGTGGGGGTAGGGGAAATTCTGCCCACCTGCTCTCTGCAGCACTTATCACGCTGCTGGGGAAATCTCCACCCACCTTCCTCCGGGGGAAAATTCCGTCCACCTTTTTCTGAGGGAAGTCCCACCTGTGTGGCTGGGGGAACTTCTACTTCTCGTCTGGTATCCCACATGACTGAAGGAAGTTCCTCCGTCTGCTGCAGTGACTCACACAGCCTAAGGCAGTACAGCCAACACTCTCCAGTGCTCCACACAGCTCTGGGAACCTCTTCCAAACCTCCGTAGTGATCTAGCTGACTGGGGAAATTCCACCTACCATGTGCAGTGCTCTACACTAAAGCTGTCACCTGCCTTCTGCAGCACTCCCATTGCAGCAGGCACCCACACACGCCCTCTGTGGCACCCTAAGCTGCCGTGGGCCAAACCATCACAGCTTCTTGTGAAATTCACCCAGTGCAGCACCATCCTTGCAGGTCCACAACCACTCAACCAGTGTCCCCTGAGAGGACCATCCAACTTGCCCTCCAAATAAGGGAAAGAGTGGTTGACTAGGGCAAGAGTGAAGCCACAGGAGGATAAAGTAGTAGATCAATCCCATAGTGCAATTAGCTGCAGGCAGTTTGAAGAAGCATTCCTATGAGTCTCCCAGAGAGAGCCCAGTGCTCTTCAACTCTCTGGAAAATGGCACTGGGCTCCTCTAAAACAATGCAACATAAACAGCAATCAGCCCCAATGACCTCAATGAAAAAACAAGAGAAACAAAAGGCAATGTTAGAAGACATCCTGAACCTAACGATGTGCATAAAAGAAGCAGACACAGAAAGAAAAATTTCAGAATGCTGCTTGGAGTCATACAGGATATGAGAGAAACAATACAGAAAAAAGATGAAATGATAGAGGAAATAAAGACCACACACCAAAGGGAAATACAAGAGCTTAGGAACGAGATGACAAAAACC